GGTAGTTCTCGTGCCTTTTCTTCCACTGGAAAGTTATCTGGTATTTTATTTTCGACGCCTACTGGAACCCTCCTGTCCTGTTTTTGTAAGTGTTTTGATATTGTCTGCTGTCTTTGGGACATTCAGTAGTTATTTTTCTCATTTATTGATTGTAGATTTGTTTGTTTTGTCCTTTTGTTTAATTTGGCTATGTCTGAGCATGCGGGCTTTGTGTTCTTTGTTGTTTACTCATCTGTGGGCACAATACTTTTCGCCTCCTCCTCCAATTGGCAGGGTCAGTCACTCATATGGTGCAGCATGGCTGGTGTAGCTGAAGAGGAGTTAGTGGGATGGGTTGTTTGTGGCACTTACTACAGCCACCAGGGCAGGTCGGTAATCAGTGCCAGGCAGGTTCCATTGGGCTGTGCCTGTGTTGCTTGGTGGTGTGATGTAAAGCGCACGGTGCAGGTAGGCAGGATGTTGGGGGAGGCTGTTATGTGTGGAGCTAAGATGGATATTGGAGAGCAGAGAGAGGAACAGGAGCCAAAATATACAAACAAACAAAAAGAGTGCTAGGGGTGCTTGCCGTTGGAGTGGAGAGATGAGAGGCTATGAAATGGAGAAAAAACAAAAAGAAGAAGAAGAAAAAAAAAAAAAGAAAAGAATGAATAAATAAAAATCAAAAAGGAAAAAGAGCAGCAAAGCTCCCAGGGATCCCACTGATGCGGCTATGAAGTCTGGGGAAGTTGATCAGTTGTTGCTGAACAGCCTGGATAGAAGGCATAGAGGTATTCAGCAGTAGATATTCAGGGAACAGAAAGATAAGGAAGGTATAGAGAGACGAGTAACTGAGTAAAAATAAAGACAAAAAGAGAAAAAGAGGAAAAAGAAAACAAAACAAATTTAAAAAAAAAAAAGAGAAGCCCCCCAAAAAACAGAAAAAAAAAAAGAAAAGCACGAATAAAGAAATGCCCTCAAGGACCCTCTGCCCGTCTGTGCAAGCCGAGGGGTTAGGTTCCAAGCTGTGCAGCACCGCCCGGCCAGAAAGGGCTCCCAACTAAAGAAAAGGAAAAGAAAACAAACAAGCAATTCAAAACAAACAAACAAACAAAAGCCCTGGGATCCCACTAGTATGGCAGCCCAGACCGGGAAGCGGTTCCACACTGACACGGAGCTCCGCAGCCCCTCAGAAAGAAGCAAAGATGGCTCACGGAGCCAGGTATTTGAGCAAAAGGAGGGGGAGGTTGTGAGAGGTAAGGAAGAAATCAAAAGAAGTGGAAAAAAAGCAACACCAATAGCCAACAAGTGGTACTCAGAAAGCCAGTCAGTGGGGGTGGGTGAAATCCAAGCAGCAGGTGCTTTCCAGACAAGTGACTGTGGCCTCGGGAAGCAGAGGAGACCAAGTGGGGGTGAAGAAGTGTGGGGGGTGGGAAAGCGTATATCGCAAATTACCGGTTGTTTTGTCTCCCGCTGGAAGCTCCGTGAAGCTGCTTTCTTGTACCCCCTATTTACTGGTCTCCGATAGGAGTCCAAGATGGTGGATCCGTGCTGCGTTAGCTGATAGGGGACCTCTGCATGAATCTCTCCTCGCTCTCCCTTCTCTGTCAGTTTTCTCACTCCATTTGGTGCTTGGCTGAGTTCTTTTTCCCTTCATTTGATGTTTTAGGGTTTCAGGATTGCTGTTTTCTCTGTTTGGCTTAGTTTTTCAGATCTTTGCTGTGGAGGGATGGCATGGTGTTTCTGCCTAGAGTGCCATTTTGCTGGTAGTCCTCAAAATATTTTTTGAAGACTAAATTTGGCAACTGGCAAGAGAGAAGTGTTTGGGTTTGGATGTCACTGAACGAAGGATTGTATCATGAACAATTATTGTTCATTAGTAGTAGTTTTGCAGAAAAGTAAGAAGTATTTAGGACTGTAGGAATTACGGTTGAATATTGAGCATTCTAAAACCAAACTTAATACCTTCAAGTCGATTCCGACTCATAATGATCCTGTAGGAGCCCTGTTTGCTCAGTGGTTAAGCACTTCACTGCTAACTGAAAGGTTGGCAGTTCAAATCTACCAGCCACTCCACTGGAGAAAGATGTGGCAGTCTGCTTGGGTAAAGATTACAGACTTGGAAGCCCTGTTGAGGCAGTTCTACTCTGTCCTATAGGGTCGCTGTGAGTCAGAATCGACTATGAGTTGTTATGAGTTGGCAACAGGTTTGGTTTTGGTTTAGTTTTTGGTATAGAGCGTACTAATGATATGGCCTGTGTTTTTTGTTTTTAGAGGGCTTAGGAATCAACTACACAAGGAGAGTAGTTTTTCTTAATACATCTTCTCAGAAACTATTTGTTTTATCTGTTTGTAAGAAAAAAGACTTTAGAGCTGCCAGCAAGTAACTGACTAAGGTAAAATTCAGCCTTCCCTTCTAGGCTACAGTTTTTGTCCCCTTAGTCATATCTAAGCTTCATTCGTGGTTCTATAATAAAAGAGCAGGGAATTATGTTTGTTTTTTCCTTTTTTTTTTTTCCTTCACCACTATCCCCCACCAGCCTTGAGCAATATTCCTAGCCAATAATAAAAGCTTAATATATAGTTGGTGATTAAATTAATGAATGTCATTTTTTAGTGTAATTATTAAACTTAGTAAAGCAGCCCAATATATTGCATACCATATTTTAAATACATTGGAAGCGATCAAGGCATTAAATGTTATGGTTACCATTTAACCTGTGTTTTAGTGTGAGACTATAGGACGTTTGTATACATTTGTCCTTACTGGTTGTACACGTCACTGCCATAGAACTTGGTTGAGCAAGGATATAACATTCGTAAAATTTCTGCATCTTAAATTTTAATGGTGAAGAACTTAAATTTTAGTTTTCAGTTAACTTAATTATTTCCTTGTTAACCTTTATCAATTTAAGATTTAAGCATCATTAATAAAGAGTGTCTCCATTTCTTTTCTTCCTCGCTTCACTTCAAGTGATCTAAGTTCTGTGGAGACTTATACCATTATTCGTTAATCTAAGACACTATTAATTTTTAAGATGTACCACTAAGAAAGAAACAAAAATCACTACCAATTTAATTATAAAATAATGTAATTATATTTTTTCATAATGCAGGAATTGGGCAAACCAGCCTCTCATTGCTTTTACAGTTTTATTCCTTCTGAGGAATTTGGCTATTTCTTCTGCCTTCAGTTATATTGCTTAGTGTGTAAGAATTTCTTAGAGGAGAAATTCAAACCAAAAAACCCAATCCGTTGCTGTTGAGTTGATTCCGACTCATAGCGACCCTATAGAACAGAGTAGAACTGCCCCATAGGGTATCCAGAGAGCAGCTGGTGGATTCAAACTGCCAGCCTTTTGGTTAGCAGGAGAATGCTTAACCACTGCACCACCAGGACTCCTGGGCAGAAATTAGTAGTTTAATCTACCTGGAGTATCTTCTTTCTTAAAAGACATGATTGTTGCTTGGCAAGAAAATAGGAAATTGATGCCACTGATCCAATGTCATAGCATTTGCTTCACTGATACCAAATCATAGCCCGCTGTTCTCTTTCCTGCCTTTCTACATATACAATCACTTTTGCTTCGGTGATGATTCTTAATATAATCTCTTTGAGGGCATTTTAAACATCATTTAAACTCATCCCTTATCGTACCAGCAATGCATAGAATTCATTTCAAGTGTCAGCAGTATAAAGAGCTGTAACCAAATCTGTGCAGGTACAGGCTATGGTGACTATGTAGGACTGTCCATCTGTCTCACAGTAACTGTAAGATGCCATCAATGGAAAGATGCATCCCAATTTCAGAGATGTTAAGTTATGAAAAATGCGGTCTTAGAAACTCTTAAATTTAGACCTGTACATAGGAAAGGATCCACTTGCAGCCTTTTATCTTTGCTGGCTACCGTCAAAGTATTGCTCATCCTGCTTGGTTTGGGGGCTTTAGCCTCTGTCTCTGCTGCTTCTACCAAAAGAGCCTCTTGCTCACCAATCCACACAGATTATACTGTGCATTCTTGGTTCTGTCTTCAAGCTTCTTTCCGCCTTTTGTAACTTCTGTATCACCTCTCCAGGCAGAAGGAACTCTTGGCTATTGTCCCCATGCCACTCTAACCCTCCACATCTTTTTCAAGCAGCTGTGGGATCCCTAAGAAAGAGCAACTGAATTAGGGATAACAGCCTTGGAGATTTCAAAATTTCACAGAGGAGGTGACATTTAAGTTGCAGATACGCTTTAAAGAATATGCAAATAAGAGCCCCAGAAAGGAGAAGAAGTTGCATTTCAAGCAGAGTAAAGCATGAGCCAGGGCACCAAGCTGTAGGAGAGTGTGTGCATGTGGTAGTGAGTCTTTATAGAACACAGGCTGTGTGGCGTGGTGGGGGAAAATCTGTCAGAAAAGGTATGTTGGGGCCAACTCGTGAACGGCATGTTAAAATATTTATGTAGATATATATATATAAAGGTTTTGGATTTGATAATTTGTAACAATGGTCATATACTACCAAATGCTTTGGGGTGAAGGAATGATACTAGATTTATGTACTAGGAGGATGATTCTGGTGATCCTATGAAAGACGGATTGTTGTTTTTAGTTGTTGTCAAGTCAGTTCTAACTCATGGCAACCCCATGTGTGCATAGTAGAACTACTCCATAGGGTTTTCTTAGCTGTAATCTTAACGGAAGCAGATCACCAGGTCTTTTCTTCCGTAGTACCGCTAGGTGGATTCAAACTGCAAACTTTTAGGTTAGCAGTCAAGCGCAAACCATTTTCACCACCTAGGGACCTTCTCGACTATGAAATAGTCTTTAATTTTAGAATCATAATTAAGAACTTATTATCTGATGTAATTAATATAGATAAAATAACCATATGTTTTTTATTGGCATCATTCATTATAATTTACTTAAATATTTTATTGTCATTTTGCCCTTCCATATCTTTGTGAATATTTAAATATGTGTTTAAATTTTATCCAGAAGGGGCACTTTACTTATTTATTTATTTATTTGTCTTACAGATAAGAATGTGCCTTTTGATGAGAGGACTTCATCTTTCTACAGTGAAGGGCGAAGTTTCTGTTTAAGGAATAAGAAGCCACTATATCAATGGGGGAGGGAGGGTATTTAAGTTACATACACTATGATAGTCATTAATTTGTTGTTACAATAAGTACTGTTTCGCTTTGTTTTATCTTCATATGTATAGAAGAGCTCTAATGGCTCAGAGCTGTTGGGGATAAGCTGTCTTAGAAATCTTTTTAAAAATTACTTATAAAACAGGGTGTTTTCTCATTAGCTTTTGTTTCTTCCTTCTCATAGTGTTGTAAACTTTTCTTTTATGTACTAATGAGTTGATGTTAATTATATTTTGTTGGTGTCATTATTTAAAGAACTAGAAATTTCAACAATCCACTGGTGTATAAAAATTTGATTTTTCTTTTACCAAGCTGTATTTCCCATTTTTGGGAGTTGGGGGGAAGCCAAATTTATTACTTTGTGTTTGGATTTTTTAAATATTAATAAAGGAGTTATTGTATCCACAACAATATGATTTAAAATTCTTTTAAAGTGGTAGAGATAGAATTTATTTATAAAATAAACCTAAAGACTATAGAATTATTATATCAATATGTGTATTTCACATAATTTCTAGAGAAATTTGTTTAAAAAAGCATTTTTGTATTTTAGTAACTTCCATGTTAGCTTAAGATATTTACTTTGATTGGATATCTCAGAAACTAGTGAATTTCAAAGCCATTTTATTTGTTTGAGTATAGTGAGATTTAGAAATAATGGAAAAATGCCCCTAAAAATTAAAATACTTAGTTATAAGTCTAACCAAGGATGTAAAATACCTTTACAAGGAAAAGTACAAAATACTGCTGCAAGAAACCAAAAGAGATCTACGTAAATGGAAAAACATACTATGCTCATGGATAGGTAGACTCAACATTGTGGAAGTGACAATTCTACCCAAAACAATCTAGAAATACAATGGAATCCCAATCCAAATACCAACAACATTCTTTAAAGAGATGGAAAAACTAATCATTAACTTTATATGGAAAGGGAAGAGGGCCTGGATAAGTAAAGCACTACTGAAGAAGAAGAATAAAGTAGGAGGACTCACACTTCTTGACCTTAGAACCTACTATACAGCTACGGTAGTCAAAACAGCCTGGTAGTGGTACAATGACTGATACATTGACCAATGGAACAGAATTGAGAACCCAGATGTAAATGCATCCACCTACAGTCATCTGATCTTTGACAAGGGCCTAAAGTCCATCAAATGGGGAAAAGACAGTCTTTTTAACAAATGGCAATGGCAAAACTGGATGTCCATCTGCAAAAAAATGAAATCGGACCCATACCTCACACCATATACAAAAATTAATTCAAAATGGATCGAAGACCTGAATATAAAACCAAAACCTATAAAGATCATAGAAGAAAAAATAGAACCAACACTAGAGGTCCTAATACACAGCGTTAACAGGATACAAACCATAACAACACACAAACTCCAGAAAATAAGCTAGATAACTGGGATCTTCTAAAAATTAAACACTTACGCTCATCAAAAGACTTCACCAAAAGAGCAAAAAGAGAACCTACAAACTCGGAAAAAATTTTGCCTATGACACATCCAATAAAGGTCTCATCTCTAAAATCTACAGGAAAATTCAACACTCTACAGCAAAGACAATCCAGTTAAAAAATGAGCAAAGGAAATGAACAGACACTTCACCAGAGAAGACATTCAAGTGGCTAACAAACACATGAGAAAATGCTCGCAATCACTAGCCATTAGAGAAATGCAAATCGAAACCACAACGAGATACCATCTCACCCTGGCATTGCTGGCACAAATCAAAAAAAAAGAAAATAGCAAATGTTGGAGAGGCTGCAGGGAGATTGGAACTCTTATGCACTGCTGGTGGGAATGCAAAATGGTACAACCATTTTGGAAAACAATATGGCACTTCTTTAGAAAGCTAGAAATAGAAATACCATACAATCCAGCAGTCCCACTCCTAGGAATATATCGTAGAGAAATAAGAGCCATCACACGAATAGACATACGCACATCCATGTTCATTGCAGCATTGTTCACAATAGCAAAAAGATGGAAACAACCTAGATGTCCATCAACAGACAAATGGATAAACTATGGTACATACACACAGTGGAGTACTATGCAATGATAAAGAACGATGAATCTGCTAAACATCTCATAACATGGATAAAACTGGAGGCCATTATGCTGAGTGAAATCAGTCATTCACAAAAGGACAAATATAGTATGAGACCACTACTATAAAAACTCAAGAAAAGGTTTATACACACACACAAAAAAAACAATCTTTGATGGTTATGAGGGAGGGGAGGGGTGGGGATGGAAAAACAATAGACCATAGATAAGTGGTAACTTTGGTGAAGGGTAAGGCAGTACACAATACTGGAGAAGCCACCACAACTTGTCCAAGGCAAGGTCTTGGAAGCTCCATAGACACATCCGAACTCCCTGAGGGATAGAATAACGGAGCTGAGGGCTGTGAGGACTATGTTCTTAGGGAACATCTAGCTCTATTGGCATAACATAGTTTATAAAGAAAAAGTTCTACATTCTACTTTGGTGAGTAGCGCCTGGAGTCTTAAAACTTATGAGTGGCCATGATAGATAGTCCATTGGTCTCACCCCATCTGGAGCAAGGGAGAATGAAGAAAACCAGACACAATGAAGAAAACCCGACACAAGGGAAAGATTAGTCCAAAGGACTAATGGACCACAACTGCCATGGCCTCCACCAGGCTGAGTCCAGCACAACTAGATGGTGGCCGGCTACCACCACTGACTGCTCTGACAGGGATGGCAATAGAGGGTCCCGGACAGAGCTGGAGAAAAATGTAGAAAAAAATTCTAACTCACAGAAAAAGACCAGATTAACTGGCCTGACTGGAGAAACCCTGAGAGTATGGCCCCTGGACACCCCTTTAGCTCAGTAATGAAGTCACTTCTGAAGTTCACTCCTCAGCCAAAGATTAGACAGGCCCATAAAACAAAACGAGACTAAATGGGCACGCTAGCCGAGGGGCAAGGGCTAGAAGGCAGGAGGGACAGATAAGCTGGTAAAAGGGAACCCAAGTCAAGAAGGGAGTGTTGACATGTTGTGGGGTTGGTAACCAATGTCACAAAACAATATGTGTACTATAATGAAAAGCTAGTTCTGTAAACCTTTATCTAAAGTACAATAAAAAAAATGGAAAAATGGTATGGTTCAAAGCCCCAGTCATGTTAAGGGGTAGGAGAGGGAGAAAATGAAGTCAGTGCATGGAATTTGAAGCCAGCCAGACCTGAATGCAGAGGACTGACTCATTATCTATGAATAAGTTATTTAACCTCACTGAGCTTTAGGTTTTTACATTCTCAAAATTAGAAGAGGACAGTGCCTCATATAGGAAAAGCAAGGGTCATGAACTCAGTTGCTTCCAGGGGCCAGAGAGAGAATTTAAATGCATGTGGCAGTAAGGATAGGCTAGGTCATACAGTGGTAAAAAAATGGTCGCCCAGTCTCAGTGGCTTACAGCAACGAAGGTTTATTTTTCACTCATGCTACATGTTTGTTTTGGACTGTGATTATGCTCTATATTGCCTTTTTTCTGGGACCAAGGCTGAAGGCACAACCTCACCTGGAATATTGCCTGTCTTACAGCTAAAGGTCCAGACGTGGAGAAATGCATGCTAGGTTATAAGCTTCTGCCCAAAGTAATATACTTCATATCAACCCATGTTTTATTGTCCAAAATAAACCATAAAGCCACTCCAGACTTCAACAGGGCAAAGATAGATAATCCTCTAGAAACAAGGTAAATTGAGAGTATTTGGCCACTCAAAATGCCAGCTTGGCTTTATCTAACTGGTTTACCATATGCTAACTGGCTTTCCATAATGAGTCAAGTGATGTCAGTGTATATGGGTATATTGTGTAAGCCTGGACTAAAGAAGATAAAAGGATCATCCTCTGTTCAGCAACCACTGTTAGTTACTATGAGGAAATATTTGCCCAGTGTTACTCAGTATTTTATTTTTATTTTTAATTTGCAAGAGAGGCCAAAAATCCAGATTTCTTATATGCAATGAGTCCATCTTAAAATATTAAAACAGCACATTTGTTGATTACGTTGAACCCCATACATACCTCCATTTTGTTATATCTAAAAACCATGTACTATAATACATAGGAAATAGTGATACAAGATCTACCAGCTGCTATTATGTATAAGTGGCTTTTACAGTAAAACTGAATGGAGGTAAAGCATGAGTCTACTAGAGTATAAGAATTCTAATAATTAAGGTTAGAAAGTCATGATCTAAAGCAGGGCTTCAAACTGGTTCTTTTTGGTTCGACACCCTGCTGATAATTTGCATTTCCACCCTGGATATACTGAATATACTGACAATTGTTAGATATACCTGCATAAGTATACATAAGAATCACCTGGGGATCTTGTTAAAATGCAGATTCTGATTCAGTATATCTAGGGTGGAAATTCAAATTCTCAACAGGGATCAAACCAAAATGAAACGGTTCAAAGCACTGGTTTAAAGGGGATATTACCAAAATATTTTTAGCAGTAACAACAAGTTTATTAAAAATATGCAGCTTCTCAAGGTGACTGCTTTGAAATAAGGAAAGCCTTCAACTGGATTCGGGAGTCTAGCATATTTGCTAAAGGTGTCCTTTTTTCATTATCTTTCTATAGTCATTCCTATATTGCATATCTACTATTAAAAATCATCATAACAAGCTACACTTTGATTAAAGTGCCAGAAAGCACACCTATAAAGTCACTTAGCTTCATTAGATATGCAACAAACATGCTGATGAAATGGTTATTATTCTCCTTTCTCATTTTGTACCTCCTTTTAGCTGTTTTTGACAAGACCCTAACCTAGGAATTAGAGATTAAATGGAAACTAGTAGAACTGAGTTCATAGCTCAAGAGGAGAGTAAATGGAAGGAGAGGAAGGTTTTGGAATAATTCTTAGCTGGTCTTCTACACATGACCTGGAAGCTTTTGACCAACAACTGCTTCAGATAGAAAGTGAATTAGCTTCTCTCTGCCTCATTTCTCTTAATTTTTAGGTAGATAAACCATAACTACAAAAATAAACTCTAGGACTGGTTGCTCAACATGCACCTTGTCAGCTTTTTGATGGGTTTTGTATTTTGTTGCTTTACCAAGGGTATAGCCTCTTACAATTTATCACATAGCCTCTCTCTTTTATTTATTTATTTTTTAATGTTTTGGGTTTTTTTGTTTTTGTAGTTTAGTTTGAATTTTTATGCATTTTCATTTATTCAGTGTGTGTGTGTGTGTATATATATATATATATACACATATATTTACCTTATTTGCCTTTTTTTTTTCAACTCTCTAATTCCACTTCTGTTGAATGAAGCAATAAAGGAAAATAGTTTATTTCTATCATAGGAGAAAAAGAGCCTATATGAAAAATGGCTGAAGGGATAAATACAGTGTAGTAATTCATTCCACAAACTTGGGCAATTGGAATTATTGGAATGACACCTGTTACACCTCCAACGGAGGAGTCTTACTGCATGTAGGATAGCAAAGAATATAACAATGTCTGCCACCAGGAGCAGCAGCACTAGTATGTCAACCCACCATATAGTGTGCAAGTCTCAGAGTCACCAAGAAACACAGGACTTAGGCAGTGGATGGAACACCGTTTACTCACAAAAGAGAAGCAGAGTAAGATCAGATAGTGGGCTTCAGTCTTCCATGGCCAGTGGGTCACTCCCCACAGTTAACACTGGATGGTGGGCTGCACACATACCTCTTATGCTGCAGGCAAAAGACCCTGTTCCATCCCTGCCCAGTATAGATACAGCAGTGGTATTGGCCAGG